GAACACTATGGGCTCTACCCAAGATGCTGTAGAGGAACAGAAAGCATTCGCAGAGGCAATCACAGCAGCGATTTGAGCACTCAGAGAACAAAAAGACGTCATGTCGCTGCCCCTGAGTGTAAGACGCCCATCAGATGGCTTCCTTTTGTATATTTTAAAAGGATTTTCTGGTGATTGTTTACCACTGAAGCAGAAAGGAAAGAAGCATTGGCTCACGTTTTCAATAACATAAGCAATACATTCTCCCTGAAGAAATTGAGGCACACCACAAAAGCTTACGGTGCGGCAGTACCCGAAGTACGAACGGGCCATTTTAACCTATTTATCCTCCTGCTGGCAAGTAGGTGATTCCGGTCTATGCCTTCACATGGACGCTGTGAGCCTCCTCTGTCTCAGGTGCTGGTGTGAGCATTTCTGTAGGACAGATCCTGGATGTGGAACTGCTTGGTCGGAGGATGTTCATGTTTAGAAATCGGTTGGCGTTCCCAAAATTGACCTCAAAACGGCTGCATCAACTTTTAAGCCAATAACAATGTGTGGGGGCGCCTGGTCCATGTCTTTGGGGTCTTTGTCTTCCACGTAAGATTCCCGCGGGGCCAATGATAACTGGACTTGTTCCCCTCGGCCTCCCAGTGGAGGTCAAGATCCTCTCTGAGCTCTGATAGCCTTGTGCTTTAGTTGTGTCCAGGCTGCTTCAGGCAGAAGCCTCACGACCAGATACGTCACAGGTGTGTTTGCACACTGGACAGGGATCCGTACCGTGATTCACCTGTCACAGTTCTGAGGGATAGCTGCATGGGACATGTGAACAGCAGGAAAAACTAAATATATCACGCTCCGTTTTTATAAACTTGTCAGAGAGTCATGGGCAGAGCTGGAAGGGGACGAGTGTCTACTCTGAGTGGTCTAGCCTCCTGGGTGGCCTCCGGCACAGCCTGTATGGTTCGCAAGACAAGAGTAGCATGTTAATGTTACCTGACAGCCCCTGAGTCAGAGGGTGGGGGCTGTTCCCACCTCAGCTCTTGTCAATCTTGCAAGAAAGACTTCGGATCAGTGACAGATAGCAGTGTTGAAGCAAAGAAAGCAAATTTATTACAAATACCCTTGAGCCCCGCTGGCATGGCTCAGTGATTAAGCATCAATTTATGAACCAGGAGGTCACAGTTCAATTCCAGGTCGGGGCACATGCCTGGGTTGTGGGCTCGATCCCCGGTGTGGGGTCTGCAGGAGGCAGCCAATCAATGATTCTCCTCATTGATGTTTCTATCCTCTCTCTCCCCCTTCATCCCTGAAATCAATAAAAATATATATATTTTTAAAAAAGAATACACTTGAGAAAACCAAGATGGCGGCATAGGTAAACACCGGAGTTAGCTGCCTCGAACAACCACTTCAAAATACAACTAAAAGACACAACGGACATTGCCCACAACCACAGGAAAACTGGCTGAGGAGAAATTCTTCAACTAGAAGGAAAGAGAACAGCATATGAGACTCAGAGGAGGCGCGGTGCGGAAAATATAAAGGTGCGGAGGTACGTGTGGAGCAGGCTGGTAGCTGAGGGCGTGGTTGGCGTTTTCAATCGGGAGGGAGTCTCAGGCTCTGGGCTCCAGTTCCGGGCGAGTCTCTGGGGACCCAGACTCAAACGGGAGAAACAG